AAGCATCCGTGTTTGCTGTGTGGTGATGGCACTGCTGAAATGCTCTTTCTTTCTACGGGGATGAATCAGCCCCTGACGAGGTAGATGCAACTGCTGGAGCCTTTTGGGAGGTCCACCCTGCCAGATAATGTCCACTCCCTGAAGTCTGGCCTTGACTGTGTTTGATTTGTTGCTCAGCATGTCTTGGTGCTCAATTCCTTAATGCAAACCAAGTTCTCGGTGGCTACATATATCCTAAGCTGACAAAATATTTATGATTTTAAAAGATGAGTCTAAGATTGGGAACAATGTTCTGCTGGCTCATGGAATGGGAGACAGTATGTCTCTCACCTTGCTCATCTTACAGGAGCACAGTTGGTGTTTCCTTATATTTGAAGGAAAAGACCTGCTCATTTTTCATCCTGCCTGGCAAGGATGGTGACTTTTGGGAAGGTATTTTGGATGCTGAACTATCCTCTCTTTTTCTTTCTGCTACTTAAGACGATATTTTTATTGTCACAACTTACCTGTAGCTCCACGTACCCCAGTAGAGTCACTTCCCTGTGGAGGGGAAGTGACTTTTGGAGACTTTCCCCATCTCTTTTTGCGGGGGATGCTTTGGGGTTTTGTTTTTGGTGTCTAAAGATTTGTCTCTTCTTTCTACAGCCAAGTAAGCAACGGGCAATATTTTGCTTTTCATGGTATAAAACGTTGATTGCGGACTTACTGCCCGTCCCTGCGTACCTGTGTGCAGTGTCTAACACCTGTGTGCTACACCAGCCGTCAGACTCCCATGTAAAGCAGGACTATCTTTTTCGCATCTCAGGAGCTGAATTTAATTCACCGATACAGTGCGGTAACTCTTTATATCCATTTTAATGGTCCGGTGAAATTCTGTTAGCAAAATACCTAATGAATGTTGCAATTCAATCAGGGCAATCTCGAGTGTAATGTGTGGAGCAGTGCCAGCATTGTATAAATCATTAGACATCAAAACCGTAAAAAAAAAAAAAAAGTCCCTAATCATCTTCTGACTCCAAGAGCTCCTGTAAACGGCCAGGGACGAAGCCAGGTGTGGGCAGCGCAGGCGCCTGGCTGGGACGGGGACGCAGGCGAGCTGGGGTGGAATGGCTCGCCAGCTTGATTTCCCGTGCTTCACCGGCTGCATTTTTGGGTCATGGAGGTGCCATCGCATGGGGAGGGGGTTGTTTGTGTGCTCTGGAGTCCCCCCAAGCCCTTTGCAAGTCCTGGAGGGGGAACAGTTATTAATTAAAGGGGTGCTTTCAGAAAACGAAGGGGAACAGTCATTGCAGATAAATTTTCTGTAGGCAGTTTAGTTTTCTACTCCAGCTTCATTTGCATGGTGAACTGGGGACTGACTACACGTTATTTTGGCTGGTTTGGCCCTGGGAACTCTTGCAGCAAAAAAAGATGCGGTTGTGCTCGTGAAGCCAAGATTTTATAGAGATAAACGGTCTAGAGGTTTGGGGCAGCTTTTAGTTTTTAAACAAAGTCTCTTGAAAGGCTTCCTAATGAGAGGCAAATCCAGCTAGCAAAGGCTTTGCATTTGCTTTTGGAAAGATTGAACTGGAGGGAAATCTCTGGCTTTGGCCATGGGTCTGCTCTGCTGGGAGAGGTTATCTGCGGAGAGCAAAACCCAAAGTAATTGATCCTGAAATATGGTCGTGTTTAAAATGCACCGCGGGCTCCCTGGGAGGTTGGAGTGCGATTTGAAGGAGTAATGCAGAATACAGAATTATAACATTCCAGGCTGTATATATAGATATACATATATGTATATGTGTGTGCGCATGTATATGAATGACCAGGTGAGATTTCAGGGTGGGGGTTCTATCGGCACTGGTCTGATTTTATCACCACCTGCTGTTTTAGGATCAGATTAGGTATTTTGCCTTCACTCAAAAACTGAACATGGTTAAGCAGAGCGGACACAGATGTCCCAGCCCTCACCTCTGCTGGCAAACGTGGTTTGCACTTAATAGTCACTTAAATAAGAGCGAAGCCACAGAATTCTCCATCACGGAGAACTACTTTTTTTTTAAACGGATGCTGTCTTAGATGGACGAAAACCTTTGGAAAGCTGCGGAGCCCCTGTAAGACTCCTGGGGAGCAGCCCATGAGCCTCACCAGCGTGTGCCCATCCGCTGCGCACCACTGCATCCCGGCTGCTGGGAGAGGAGCCTGTTCAAGCCATCCCTGCCCGCTGCTTCACCAGCGGTTCACGATGTCGCTCGGCAAACCCAGCGCAGAGATCTCAGCTGGAGACCCCCAGCTGAAAACATGAAGCTTGGCAGCTGCGGCTGGGCACAACCGGGGTGAGAGAAGGGAGCGGAGGCGGAAGCCGTCGGTCAGCAAGCGATGCTCAGCCAGACGCTTCCCATGGCCGCTGCCCCTCAGCCGCAGGCTGCTCCCCGCCCAGGGATACGTGCCCCCAGATCTGCTCCGGCGGTGCCGCTGAGCACCGCCTGGACAGACGGCGGCCGGCGCTGCCTTCCCTGGCCTGCAGAGACCTGGCTTGTATGAAGCTGCTCGATGCACGCCTGGAGCCTTACAGCCAGCCTGTTTCTAAAGACGGCTCGTGGAAGACCGCTGAGTGCAAATATTAGGCATGGCAAGGTGTGAAATGTGCTATTTGCAGGGCACGGGGCATGCACAATGTGTGCTGCAAATACTGCAAGTCCCCAGTCTGTCTTTATTAAACCTGCATATTTTAAGCCCAAAGCGATGTGTTATCTCTCAAGAAAAAGTAAGCTGAGTCTTTTTTTTAATACAGTTATAGCTACGAGTTTTTGTCCTGCAGCGCTTGACTGTGGGGATATTTTAAGAGCTCTGCTATCTCCTGCTAGGAGGGAATACAGTAAATATGTAGATAGGGAGTGCTGCTGCTTTGAAAGGTAAGTAAAGGGTCTGTGCTGAACTGACACTAGCTGAAAAATTTGTTCAGCCTAATTAGCAGCAAATCACTTCTGTGTCCAGCCTTGCTTGTAGAGACGGGAGCCAATTTCCTCCCCCCCTTATCCCCTGCTACCTTTCGTGCCTTTTCAGAGCCCTCCCTGGCCGAGCAGCTGAGGGTTTCTGTGGGGATGGCAGATCTGCATCCACGTGTCATTGCAGACTGACGAGTGCAAAATGGCATTACTGGAAATTCCTGGGAAACTCTACGCCCATCTTGGGCTTTGTCTCGCACTGTTCAAGCTGTCACCGGAACCGGTCATGATCAATCAGCTTTTAAATTTCACGAAGTTTTAATTAAAGAATGGAAAGCCTACGAAGACATCATAGGACAAGAGCACTGGAAACAAATACAATTTCACTTCCAACCATTAGCCGGAAAAGCAGCAAATGGTTGACTGCACATCACCGTTGCAGTCTAATGAAAAGTACAGCTCTTGGCTTTGGTGGGCAGGTCATTAGTGACTGAATAATCAGTGACATTTCCCTTCTAAATCTGACACAAATGAAGTGCAGTGCTCTGGAAAAAGCCATTAAGTGTAAAGCCTTGTCTTTACTCTGCTCCAGGTATTGCAGAACAAGATCTAGTGGCAGCCTTTAGCTGTGATTTGGCTTTGATAGCATCCACAGGATAGTAACCGCCCGGTATGCCGAGCGCCAAATGCTTACAGCCTTGCACAAGCACGGTTCCTGCCATCGTTCCGTGCAAAAAACGGCGAGTAGTACTTGCTTCTCACTGGTGTTCAGATGCCACTGGTAAGAGATACAAGTAGGAAAATCTCTAATCTAGAGTACTGGAAAGCTGAAAGGTATATTCTTATCTCTGAGAGGTACCAGCAGGTAAAGGTAGCTGGTCTCTGGCTCATCGTGCGGTCAGTTTAAAGCCTGACATCCTCCTCTGAATTCCCTTGGCAGCTCCCTAAGCTGGGTGTTAACCTGTTTTTCTGTAAATTTTTAAATGTCTTCTTGCTGGGCGTGGAAAGCGAGCGGCACCACACAGGAAAAAGGAAGGACTGGTCTTGTTTATGTCTATCCCTTGACTTTCTGTGAATAAGGTGTTGTCAGATGGACAGGGTAATCAAATGGGTGTAACTTCCTCTGCTCCCTCCCCATGTGCCAGTGGCTTTGAAAGTAATGCTGAAAGGTTAATAGGAGCCAGGCTGCCTTGGGGAGGGTCCCTTGTGTGGAAGCAGTGAGTCTTTAGGAAGGTTTTTTTTGCAGGAGACCCCATGGGGGAAACTTTTCCTAGGGAAAAGCACCGATGGGAGCTGGGCTGGGAGGCACTGTTGTCTTGGAAACTGTACTTTGGAGCTTGGTGTGTCTGATCTCCAAAATTCCTTTTTCTTTTTCTTTATGGACCCCAAATTAGAAGTTGTCAATGCAGTCAGTGTATCTTTTATCAACGGCTCTGATTTATATTTAGCCCTGTGTTGGGAATTCCCCATGCAGTATTTTTGGTCGTTAGATCTTCTGGTCCTGTTTGGGCTAAGGGTCTACTACTCAGCAGATAAATCTGTTCTGGGTGTAGTCCTGTGAGTTATAGCCTTACTGAAAACTTACTGAAAACATGAGTGACCACAGATAAAAGTGTATTTTTAATGAGCAGTTTCATTAATTATAGGGTAAAAAACAGCCCAGGAAGGTTCATTAATGGCTAACCAAATCCACTCCCAGCTTTGTATAGTTAGTTCCAGCTGAAGGCTCTCGATAGTTTTATTGCTTAAAAAGGGCATGGTGATACGATGTTGTTTCAAAATAAAAAGCTTTATTACCTTATCAAAAGCTTCTTTTTTATATATTACATTTATGATGCATCATTAAGGTGTGTATCCAAACACTTGGATTTATATAAGCATCCAGGCAGCTATTGCTGTGTGATAGTCTTTATCCTGCCTTGTTTCGGAGAGCTTACATTCCCCAATCCCTTTTGGCTGTTAGAATTTGGGACTCTTTTCTGAAGCTGGAAGAGGTGCTTTGCTCACCCTCGTCTCGGTGCAGAGCAGCCCTTGCCAGCATCTCACTTTCCATCAGTAGGCGTCATCTGGGAGATGCCCCTTCTGGAGAAGGCCTTCGAGATGCTGTCCGGTGGGTCTCCCGAATTACCCACTCGAACACCCTTTGATGTGTGCTCTTAAAATTCTTTCCTTTTTCATAAGGGAACCAAAGCGAGGAGCAAGACAATTAAAAATAGTGATATTCCCTGGGTTTGTCATGGCTTTAAGAGGCCATCACCACCAGTGCTTTCAGTTCTTTTTCACTGGACTCCGGTTCCCCACTGCTCACTTCAGCGGTTGCCATCTCACGCACTCAAACTTCAGGCGCTGCAGAGAGATGCAGAATATTGCTCATAAAATTAATGCCAGCAGCTCACTCCCCTTTTCCAAGTATATAGTGAAGAAGAACTACCATGCAGCTTATTTTTTGCTGTGTACTTTGGTCACAGAGAACCAGGTCGTATTTCTATATGACCCGGAAACCCAAGTTAAAGAGAAAAATGTGAGTAGCGTTTTAATTGTAGTTTTGCAACTTAAACCACCCTCTCTCCCACGCAATCAACGGGTGCGTGCCGGACCACAGCTTCCTAAAGCTCTGTTTTAAGGATTGGGGAGGTCAGGGAGGCATGAGTGATGAGCATCACCTTTGCAGCTTGAAACCCATCAGAGTGCGGAGGAGAAAGCTTCTCTCTTTCTTTTCCATCTGCAGGTGACGTTGTGGACATCTACCAGCGGGAGTTTCTTGCCCTCCGGGACCGACTGCACGCAGCCGAGCAGGAGAGCCTGAAGCGCTCGAAGGAGCTCAACCTGGTCCTGGAGGAGATCAAAAGAGCGATCTCGGAGAAGCAGGCCCTGCGGGATATAAACCGGACCTGGAGCAGCTTATCTGGTGAATAAACAGAGAAGTTGAGGATCTCGGGCTGTTTTGAAGCAGTTGCTAATAAGGAGGTAGAGAGGTGTGCGTGCGTGTGCGTGTGTGCAGGGCTGCAGACAAGGACGTGCTCTTCTCTCCCCCGGCGCGAGCCAACTGTGGAGTTCAGAGGGACTTGGGAACTCTTAAACTCCTGTTTAATTAGAGGTGCATATGCATCATTATTAAACATTGAGATTTGCCTCTGCTGAGGATATTTGCCAATTTGCTTGCTTACAAGCTTTTTTCTTTTTCTTGCAATTCATACATGCCATTTCCTATGGCTGTACTGAATCCATATGGAAAATGGGTATCCGAAAAGAGAGGGAGGAAGGAGTTAGGCTGGCTGAGCACCCCTCGCCAATTTATTTGTTCTTTTTTTTTTTTTAAGTTGCTCAGTTGAAGAGAATTGGATCTCTGCAGAAAGATCTGATTTGACCTTCATTTGATCTTCATTCTCCTCCCTCCGTCCCAAATATTTTGGGACTTCTTTAAGGCCCTCATGGCTCCTGCTGCACTTTAATTGGGTTTGTGGTAACATGTTAAAGGTTGGCCTGATTTTTTATAACCCAGCAGTAGTCTCGGGTGGCCAGGCTGCTCTAAAAAGGCTTTTTGCCTTGCAGTCTCTTCCTACCAACCGTTCCTTGCAATTGATTCCCTTTTCCTTTTTAAGACGAAACCAAGTTAAAACTGTGGAATATCACCAACAAGAATGTGCTGCACCTTCCCACCATCTTCCATCATTTGCCACATTTGCTGTCAAAGGAGAACAGTCTGCAGCCAGCCGTGCATGTGGGACAGGGGCGCACTGGAGGTAAATGGGAATTAGTGCTGCTTCTGGTGCTCTTCCTCACCTTGGTGCCTGTCCCTCCCCTTTCCTCCGGGCCTGGCTGTGGTACGGATATGAGCAGGACTGGAGGAACGGCTGCATGCATCATGCAAGCTTCCTTGGTATTGTGGCACGTGGGGTGGGTAAGCCATGTCACATCTGTGAGTATGGGGGAGAGCTGTCTGTGCTCTTGACTGGCACTAAAATGTTCTCGATGCTTCTGCCAGATGTTTTTTGCTGCTTTCCATCTCCAGAGCGCTCTAGACTTGGCCTGGAAGGTCGTCGGATGAAAGCACAGTTTGCAGGGTGCTTCATGGACACTCTAACCAGTCTTAGGAGACAAATCCCATCTGGAGTAGGACTTTGGGTACTAGATGATTCGCCCCTGCTCCCAAATCCCAACCCAAAGCCAAAAACCTGACTTACGCCTCCTAAACTGAAGTGCTTCTGGCCATGGGAGGGGTTTGGAGAACAAGGGTTGTCTTGAAGTTGCTGTTCACAGGCTGAAAAGGCCCCTGGGATGGGTCAGGGTTTTGGGTGTTTCCTTAGGGATCAGTCTTTCAGGGAAAGAAGAAAGAGTCTATCTGACTGCTCTGGGTGCCCTGCCAGCCTGGCTTACTGGGGTGCTGCTGGTTGGTACTGGGCTGGGGGACAGGAATATGGGAACCCTACATGGCCCAGGCACCTACCAACCTGCTGATCACTACTGGTTTTTGATGATGGAGCGTGGCACCGAGCAGGTGAACCACAAGGCAGTCATGGGAGCAGAGCAACGCATCTTGTCCCAGCAAAGCCCAATCTCTAAAATCTCTCCTTGGCCCTGGGCAGTGTCCGTTGTGATGGGAATCCCCAGTGTGAAGCGGGAGGTGCATTCCTACCTCACCGACACTCTCAACTCCCTCATCTCAGAGCTCACTCAGCAGGAGAAGGAAGACTCCGTCATTGTCGTCCTCATTGCTGAGGTAAGACGGAGCTTTGCCTGTTTACCCCGTTTCCCTGACCCCCATCCCGCCCTGCTGCCTGCCAATGGCTGCCCAGCTGGAGGCCAGCTCCGCCGCTTGCCGGGGAGATGCGCCCAGCGTCGGGCTGCCGTCTGACCAGGATCGTTAGGTGCATCCTGCGCAAAACGAAACACTGGTTGGGCCAGAGAGGGTCAGGATGCGAGCAGGCAAACGCTCGCAGCTGCCAGTGCAGCGTGTACATTTCTCTTTCTGGTCTAAATCGTGATGGCTCTTGCAGGGTGTTTGTGTGCTTGTTCCCAAAATGTGCTGGAGCAGCCCCGGGGCCGTGTCTGGGGGAGCTCTCAGACCGGCTCCTGAAGCAGCTTCGTTTCTCCACGTGCCTGTCAGACAGCACTAACCCCCTCTCCAAACCCAAGAGCCCACTGATTTGGGGCTGAGACTCATATGATGCCTCTTCTTACTGGTGTCTGGAGCCCAGAATCAGTTGCTGAATCCAAGGGCTAAAAAGCTTTGATACATTAATCTGCAAGAGCTGCTTTTATCTATGGGTTTAGATGGTTATTTTTCTCCATGGCTTTCCCCTCAGGATTTTTTTCTTCAGCCTGAAGTGCATTCGTCTTCATTTCCAGAAATCCAGTGAGAAAGATAAACCTCAGTGGCATGCTACTGGGAGAGGAACAAAGATAAATGTCTGGGTTTGCTGCCTGTTTACCCATAATTTGACATTTTGAGTAGCATTTGGCTTTCGGGTCCGTGTCTGGCATTTTGTATAAGGAGAAGGTGTGCACAGATGGGTGCAGCCCAAAGTGCCCAGGACAAGGTTTCATCCTGGCCGTCGTTTCCCTTTGAGCCAGGACAGAGTTGATGACTGTTTGCACAGTGGGTGAGTGAAAGCATGAGAGGTTTTAAGCAACTTGACCAAAAACATCTTCTGTTTAGGGCTGCAGCAGTATTTTTTTTTTTTTTTTTAGTTGACTTGAAAATAGGGTGCACGCTGTGATGGCAGCACCTGACTATCCGTGTGTATGTGTGATGAGAGAAGTGAACACCAAAGAAATTAATTCTGATACGATGAAGTGCAGGAGCACACGTGCCGTAGCCCAGTAACAGCGATGGTAGTTGTTGCAAATCACCACCATCGCGGTCCTCTTTTGCCGAGCTTGCTCTTGTAGCTACACAACATCCTCCTTCCGTGCAAGTGTCAGCCACCGCTGCGCCTTCTCTGCCTCTTCCCAAAGTGTTTCTCGATGTACCTGCACTTGGCGTGGCTCATTAAGAGCTCTTCAGGCATGGGATAAAGAGTAAATAGTGGAGATGGTGTGAACCTGGAGCGGACGCTGGGTAATTTGGAGACTCAGGACAACGAGTGGAGCAACTGAATGTCCTTTTGGGATAGGGATTTCTCATTTCCGCGTGCCACGGCTAACCAGCCCAGCTGTCATCCACAGCGGCCGGGCTGCCTGGGAGAGCCGGGGGCTCCTCGGC